ATCCTAGCCGCCACTGCGTCTGCAAAACCCTGGGGAGGGTGAGTCTGGAGAAATCTGTGCCCTCCCCACGGTCTAGGCTAGGCTCAAGCCCTACCACATACAACTCCTTTTAAAATAATAGTAGCAAAAAATAAAAAATAAAAAATAAATATAATAGTAGCGGCCTGTTTGTTCATCACTGCAGGTCCTCTCTGCTGCCACTATTGGGGTGGGGGGAGATACCGACCTGGGGATGCGTAGAGACAGGCGGCCAGAGGCAAAGCGCTCCTCCCCCGCTTCCAGGTAGTTCCTCAGAGGTTGACCCACAAAGACAGACCCTACCCAGACGACACCCAGCCAGGCAGCACCGGACAGCCCTGCACACACAACCCTGCAGGTCCCCACAGGCCGTGTCTGACCACAGGTGCTGGCCCCGGGGGGCCAGTCCGGGCTGGAGTGGGGGCACTCTGCCGCCTTAAGAGGCCACGGGCTCTAGGACTGGGAGTGGCACATGGACGCATGCCTGGGGCCCCTGGGGACCCGCACTCAAGGTGGGGAGACCTCTTTGACAACCCTGGACGCAGTTTCCTCTCAGAAAGGGGTGGGGAGGGGTGAGGAGGGGTGGGGAGGGGTGGGGGTTAGCATCAGATCCCGCACTGGCACCCTCTCGGGTCCCACTGGGACCCGCATGGCAAGGACACAGCAAGTCCCACTTCTCTTAGGACAGAGCCTGGCTCTCTAACATGGGAGTTTCCAGACATGGGACCTCTGCCCAGAACAGCTCCGCCCCACCCCGTTTCTGGAGAACCTAGACCAGGTAGGATGCCCAGCTCAAAGGGAAGCCCCTCCCTAGTGCCTCGGGGGCAGGTGTCTGACGCCAGGCGTGTCCTAGAGGGGCGGGGCCTATGCGGGGCGGGAGCGGGTCCTCCGGCTCCCCGTGGTGGCACCCTGGGCGCTGAGCTGGGCCTAGGAAAGCGGAGCTGTCACAGGCTGAAGGGGCATGAATGGGGGTCGTGGGTGAGAGCCCTTGTTGGGGTGCTTCTTCCGTCTGTACCTCCCTGTCTGGGTAGTGAAAGAGCCACACGGGCTTTCCGCATGTTCCCCGCTGAGACTTGGGTTGGGGCTGGACCAAAGTCACTCTCCCTCGGGCCCTGTGCCTGGCCGCCCACCGGTCAGTGAAGAGACTCAGTCTGGGACACATCTGGTTTATTGATTTGTGGGGGAGGCACCGCTGTGCAGCGGGCCAAGGAGCGGAAGGGAGGGCAGACAGACACACAGCCCTACACAGGGCGGCCCCGAGGTAGAGGCCCGCACGCCTTTTCTGTGCAAGAAGCGCATCGCTTCGCATGCCGCAGTGCTCCACACTCCACTGGATGAGCGGGAGGGGGACACACAAAAGGCCATGGAGAGGGATCGCGGCCGAGGAAGTCAAGACGGGGACCTGCGCCGGGAACTCGCTGGAGGGGAGGCCCTG